ATATAAAGCATAATATAACAAAAAATATAATATAGAGTGTGTAAACCTCATGGGTTAATTGAATTTTTAAAGTTTAAATTAAAATGTACTGGTTCAGCAACACAAATACCACCAATTTACCCAGAAATACACGATTTCAAATGCAGCTGTTGTGTTGTTTCCTGTTTGTAGTTGACCGAAAACAAGGCACATGATGAGAGTTCAGATGAGAATATCACGTTTATATGTGTTCCCTTTCAGCATCTGGAGGAGCTGTGGCGTGATGCGCGGTGGATGGTGGTCCTCCAGTCGGCCCGGTATAAGCATCAGAGCTCTGGAGTGAGTCTGGACTGGATTATAGACTTCTCCAAAGAGAGTATTCCAGAAAAACCAGCTTCCACTTCCTCTCAGGGGGACTACCTGCCCTCACCGACCCCGTCACCAGAGAGCACACGCAAACACAACGGTGAGAGAGAGCGCTGACCTGGACAGATCACAGAATCACCAGACCGTGCTGCAGGTGTCACCTCTTCAGATTGCCCAATATAGTGGAGCTACCAGATCAATTTGACATTCATGGATAACGTTTTGAATGTTTTACTGTTTATGGATTTAGAATTGCATACGTCAGACTCCCAAACTTCTTTTTTTCAGCCAAAACTATTACTAGGCAAAAATGTTGTGATTATATATATTAATATGGCTAAATAATGTAAACCTCATGGGTTAATTGAATTTTTTAAGTTTAAATTAAAATGTACTGGTTCAGCAACACAAATACCACCAATTTACCCAGAAATACACGATTTCAAATGCAGCTGTTGTGTTGTTTCCTGTTTGTAGTTGACCGAAAACAAGGCACATGATGAGAGTTCAGATGAGAATATCACGTTTATATGTGTTCCCTTTCAGCATCTGGAGGAGCTGTGGCGTGATGCACGGTGGATGGTGGTCCTCCAGTCGGCCCGGTATAAGCATCAGAGCTCTGGAGTGAGTCTGGACTGGATTATAGACTTCTCCAAAGAGAGTATTCCAGAAAAACCAGCTTCCACTTCCTCTCAGGGGGACTACCTGCCCTCACCGACCCCGTCACCAGAGAGCACACGCAAACACAACGGTGAGAGAGAGCGCTGACCTGGACAGATCACAGAATCACCAGACCGTGCTGCAGGTGTCACCTCTTCAGATTGCCCAATATAGTGGAGCTACCAGATCAATTTGACATTCATGGATAACGTTTTGAATGTTTTACTGTTTATGGATTTAGAATTGCATACGTCAGACTCCCAAACTTCTTTTTTTCAGCCAAAACTATTACTAGGCAAAAATGTTGTGATTATATATATTAATATGGCTAAATAATAATAATAATAATAATAATAAGTATTATTATTCAATAAAAATGACAAAATAAAACAAAAATAAGAAATATTACAATATTGTATGATCACAATATAATGCTATATTATATTGTAATCTTTTTACTGTAAAACAAAAAATTATGAGTATTTAAGAACATTTTTATTAAATCACAGTCTTTGAGATTTGATAATCGCACTAAGCCATATTGCAATTTTGTTTTTAATTTGTCATTAATTAATCATGCAGCCCTGTATTAAACCAAGAAATAGTTTATTGATATGATTAATTATGATTTAAAAAAGAACTTTTTAACTGTGATGAGTTAAGGTACAGTTAAGTCATCTTACAGAAACACTGAGAGTTTGACTGTAATTGTAGACTTTTTGTTTTTAAAGCAAAATTTAATTTAAAGGGATAGTTCACCCAAAAATGAAAATGTTGTTACCATTGCCATGCATTATACGACTGATAGACTGCAACGGTTAAAGTTAAAAATCATCATTTGTGTTCTACTGAAGAAACAAAGTCACCTACATCTTGGATGCCCTGGGGGTAAGCAGATAAACATCAAATTTTCATTTTTGGGTGAACTATCCCTTTAATTATATTATTTGTAAAAAGTAAATATAAAGTAATTTTCTTAAAAATGAAAATTGTCTCATTATTGTTTTACCCTCATGTCATTCCAAATCTATATGCTGTTATTTTTCTGTGGAACACAAAATTATCTTTTTTTTTTTTTTCATTATTATTTTATGTTATAAAATTCATTACATTTGTATTTAATAAAATTAATTGAATTTTTTAATGTATTTATTTACAGTTCTTTCCAGTGAATATGGGATATAAGCTCCAAAAAGTATAAAAGGACAAAAACAACAAAAAAACTGCATAAAAGTTGTTCATACAACCAATGCACTATATTCCCATATATAAATATAGTCGGGGGTAAAATGATCAATAAATAATGACTTAAACTAGGGTCTGTTCCTCATAATACTTTCTTTCATCATTTTTTGAGCTTGACATTCTATGGTCACTATGAAAATATAACAGCACACAGATTTTAAATAACCTTAAGGTGAGTAAATAATGGCAAAATGTTCATTTTAAGTGAACTGTTCTTTTAAGAAGTCTCTCTTTCTGGCTTTCCCAAGATTCCCACGGTCTGTCGGATGAGGATAACTCATCGGAGGTGTTCCTCACCACTGATAGCGAGTACAGCTCCAGTGTGGCCCAGAGCACCAGAGAACTGGACCTGCTTCCACCGTCTCCTACCAGCTTCAGATCCTTAACGTCCACACACCCTTCCTCTTCCTCGCAGTCCTCGCCTTGCTCCTCTCAGCCGGACGTGCTGCAGACTGGAGGAGGGATGAGTAGACGTGAGCACATGAGTGCGTTCGATAGTGACTTCATCCTCCCGAGCCGTCAGATCGAGCTGCTGCGGGTCACGGAGAAGAGAACGGCGCTGTGCATCCGCACCAGCAGTCTGGAGTACCCGCCTCCTGTCTCCATGCCAACCACACCCACCAGTTCCTCCAATCAGAAGCACTGGGCACGCCCCTCCTCCTTCGACCTGTGCTTCCCCGAGCCCCGCCCCGTTCCTGTGCGCACCCTATCAGAGGACAGCGGCGTCCAGCGACTCTCCGCCCACTCTGCCGGTTCCCCTCACCAGCTGTGCCACAGCACACTGAGAGTTTACCCACAATACCGCACCGGGTTACCCAAAGACACCAGTGTCAAAGTGAGTGTGTGTGTGTGTGTGAGCTGATACACTAATCATCACAGTGGTGGATAAAACTCAAGGTGCTCACTGCTTTAGTGTGTATATAAATGTAATTGACCCTACAGGAAGTTATTGGAATTTGAATAGAAATGACTGTAAGAGGAATTCAATTCAAAGAAACTGAATAACACCCACATAGGAGTGTCAGTTGTTTCACTATATTTTAATTAATTATGCCTGTTTATTCACTGATTTACTCTTTAGACATGTTTCTCTAAACTTTCACTAAAGTTCAGTACTGTCAAAATAATGAATGCAAACATTTAAAATGCCATTCACAACCACAAAATGCCTGTCATATTGTTTTTTTTAAATAAATTATATTAAATTTAAAATATTTTAATAAAATAATACATTTAATTTTATTTCTTTTCATTTAAATCTATTGCTTATATTGACTAAATTCTAGCATTCTTGGAAATGAAGTTTTTTTTTTTTTATCATTGTCTATTATCTCTAATTATTATATATATAAATATTAATATAAATGTGTACCATTTAATTTAAATGCTTAATACGTATATTTAATTAATTACATTTATATAGGTGGCATTTCAAATATTTTTTATTAATATCTAATGTTTTTGGAAATATTCTATATATTCTATATAT